TTCCCCGCCCCCCCCAATCTTACATAAAATAGGAGTTGACTATAACCTTGGACTGTGCTCTTCTGAGACCTTCACTTTGGAAAAAGGATATGAATATTGACAAAACAATTGAACAAACTGAATAATAAACCTTTTTTAAAGGATGAAAAAAAAGATGCCTGAGTAAAGGAAGTAAGGTAAAGGTGGGGGATCCTTTAACAGAGCTTTTGATCCACATTTTACATCCAACAAGGGCCTCAAATTTATCAAAAAATCAGCTGACATACACACAACCCAAAGGGGTGACTCTATTGAAGGAAGACAGCTGTATGCTGTTACTGAATCCCACCAACTGAATGGAGTGAATTAATCTTTTATAAATCCTGTAAGATGATCCTATTGCATTCTAATTTCTACTCTAAGCATTTAAAACATAATATCCTATATAATAAAAGGCTAATATGCAAATTGACCCTAACAGCAGAATGACTGGGAATGGCTGATCACTAAAGTGCTCACTGACCATCAGGGGGCAGACACTCAACTCAAGAGCTTCCCCTTGGTGGTCAGTGTGCTCCCACAGGGGGAGCTCTGCTCAGCCACAAGCTGGGATGACGACTGTGAGCACAGCAGTGGTGGCAGGAGCCTCTCCTGCCTCCTCAGAAGCACTAAGGATGTCTGACTGTGGGCTCCTGGGCTGCCAGAGGGATGTCTGACTGCCAGCTTAGGCCTGATCCCCTGCGAGAAGGCACAGGCCGGGCTGAGGGAACTCCCCCCAAAGTCATGAATTTTCATGCACTGGGCCTCTAGCCCTATATAATAAAAGGCTAATATGCAAATCAACTGAATCATGGAACGACCTGTTGCTATGATGTGCACTGACCACCAGGGGGCAGACACTCAACGCAGGAGCACTGCTCAGCCAGAAGCCAGGCTTACGGCTGTGAGCACACCAGTGGTGGCAGGAGCCTCTCCTGCCTCCATGGCAGCGCTAAGGATGTACGACTGATGGCTTAAGCTGGCAGTCAGACATCTCCTAAGGGCTCCCGGACTATGAGAGGGCGCAGGCCGGGCTGAGTAACCCCCCTCAGGGGTCCCTCTAGTACAGGGGTGGGCAAACTTTTTGACTTGAGGGCCACAATGGGTTCTTAAACTGGACCGGAGGGCCGGAACAAAAGCATGATGGAGTGTTTGTGTGAACTAATATAAATTCAAAGTAAACATCATTACATAAAATGGCAAGACTGGGCCCACCCCCAGGCGGTCCAGCTGCTCTGCACACCTGCCTCTGGATTCCCCAGTTCTCTCAGCACCCCCACCGCCCAGGGCCAACCTGAGGTGCAGGAAAGCCTCGGATGTTGGCTGCCCAGCCACCCAGGGTCAGCCTGAAGCACAGGCAAGCCTCAGATGGCTGCTGCCTAGCTGCCCAGGGCTTCCCGAAGCTCAGGAAACCAGGGCCAGCTGAGGCTTGCGCTACTGGCAGTGGCAGCAGCAGAGGTGTGATGGGGCGTCACCTTCCCTTGATCGCCGGGTCACCTCCCACCCCTGGACTGTGAGAGGGGGCAGACAGAGAAAGTTCCTGTCCAGGGGAGCTTACATTCCAATGGACACACATGGGCCTGGCCTCCATAATGCTGGTGGGTTGCACTGGTACAAAATGGAACCAAAACAGTTGGCCCCATGGAGGCCTCTGAGAGGGAGCCCAGGTGTGTGCAGCAAAGCAGACGGACCACCTCTGCAACCCTAGGAATTCCAGAAACTGTGCGAACCATAGAAGGCTGCGTATGGTGCTTCCAAGCTGTGAACTGAGGGCTCCTGGACTGTGAGAGGGGGCAGGACGGGCTGAGGGACCCCCCATCCAGTGCATGAATTTTCATGCACTAGGCCTCTAGTGTGTGTGTGTGTGTGTGTGTGTGTGTGTGTGTGTGTGTGTGTGTGTGTGTGTGTGTGCTTGTCAACACTTATCTGGATAAGGAAACCACAGCTTTGGGGTAGAGGGGGGAAGTAGAAGGGAGGGGGGAGGAGGAAGGGGGAAAGGGGGAGTAAATAGAGTTGGGATATGAACTCTCTTGCCATGTGAATCCTCAAAAACAAGAGACAATTAGCTGCTTTTCATCATACAAGAGCAAAAAGCAACATACCCAGTTTTATAAGCTATCTAAATAATTCTGGGACATTTATGTCTTATGAGAAAATACTGAAAATGCCACTGGTAAGTTTATGTTGCTGCTCAAGTATTAGAGAGAGAATGATAACACTTTTACCATCTGTTATTTTAAAGTGTCAATAAGTGATGCAAAAATAATGAGAATAGTTTACTTTTCTAACATCATGAAACTTCTAAATGCCCAAATTGTAGAATTATTTTCCACCCATGTCAATTTCACAAGAAGACACAATATGTGCAGATCATGGTTAAGAAGGATACACTGAGTTAATGTGTAGAAGAATCAAATTGCTGTCCTTTTTAACATTAACTCCAATGGGGTCAGACCATATAGGATGTAGCAAGCTGACATCTACTCTGTTCTTATCATGTTTGCAATAGAAAACACTGTTTTGAGTGGTTCTATCTATTTGACTTTATTTGTCCTTTTGTTTGGGGTAGAGAGGCACAATAATATTAGAGTCACAAGTCTTACCCAGAAATTTCTCCAAGCAACTGCTCGGTCACGTAAGTGGCACATGTCCCCAGAACTCCAAAATGTGGTTGTCAGAGCTAAGTTCAGAGAGATAAGAGCTGTCGCTGAGAATGACCCTTCATTGTACTTGTGGGAGAGGGAGGTGTATGTATGCCTTTAAAATACCCTGCTATTGTGTCATAACAGGCTATGTGAGGTCTGGTTGTGTTGTAGTCTTCATTTAAATGAGAGTGAGAGATTTCAAATTGATTCCCTTCATCCCATGAACCCAAAGCCACCACAACCCCAGCAGAAAATCTATTCTTAATTTCACGTGATCAGCTCGATACAGCATGAGGGACGAAGGGTCAGCCATTCAGTTACACAGCAAAAGAGGAACTGAGATGTTAGATAGGCAATGGTCTCTAACGTTCGTTGCCGTAAAAACTCCTCAAGTGGTTGATAATAGAACGGCATGTGCCACCCTCCACAGAAAGTGGAATATACATATATATATTTTTTTCTCCATGTTTTTCATTTTAAAGCTGAACAGAAGAGAACGGTCCAGGTTTGTGGGAAAGGTAGCAGAGCAAACTCATTCCCAGTATCTGTGTCCTGTCCCCAAACCACTCAGGACACACACAGGCTGGGAAGACTCACGGGTACAGAGCACCACATGGCTCACACAAGCTGTGAGGTCCAGTTCACAGCTTGTCCTGTCCCTAAACCACTCAGGACACACACACAGGCTGGGAAGACTCACAGGAACAGAGGACCACGTGGCTCACACAAGCTGTGAGGTCCAGTTCACAGCTTGGAAGCACCACGCCCAGCCTTCTATGGTTCACACAGTTTCTGGAATTCCTAGGGTTGCAGAGGTGGTCCGTCTGCTTCGCTGCACACACCTTGGCTCCCTCTCGGACGCCTCCATGGGGCCAACTGTTTTGGGTCCATTTTGCACCAGTGCAACCCACCAGCATTATGGAGGCCAGGCCCATGTGTGTCCATTGGAATGTAAGCTCCCCTGGACAGGAACTTTCTCTGTCTGGCTCATCGCTCTGTCCTCAGCATGTAATACAGTCTAGCCCATTGAGGTCCCTAATAAGTGTTGGTAGTTTAATTAACTAGCATGGGTTGAGGGGAAAAAAGGGAGAGGAAGGTTGTACATAAATGGAATAGGTAGTCACCTGAGCATTGTGCCTTAAGAAATGCTAATAGGCACCACCTCATAAGCCTAACAAGAGCCTGACATTTCCTTGGTTAAGGTGACCTATTTAGGTTAAGGTGTTGTCTTCAGGAGACTACCAATAGGCAAACCACATTACCTGGTGAACAGAGTTGGCATGGGCCCAGGAAGGGCCATCTTCCAAGAGCAGAAAACTGAAAGGCCAAAGTATTAATGACTGAAAAAGATGCAGAATTGTAAGCCCCTCCTCTACTCTTAGCCAACTTTTCCCTTCCCTCAGCTCTTCCAGCATTTTTTTTTTTCAGCTCACTTGGTTTCCAGAAAAGATCTGAGACAAAGTCAAGGCTGCCAGAGGTTTGGGGGAGGCCCCAATGTTCACCCCATTCTCAGGCCCCTGCATTGATTTGCAGGTGAATCTGTGTTGCTTGCTAGGGAACATTGGTTAGAATGGTGCCATTTCTCCTAATTTATACACGGAAAAGTGATTCTGAGTGATTTTGCTCTAGAAAACAATCAAGAAGAAAGGCAGGTTCTTTCCCCTGGGTATTTTCTGCCTTTTCCTATTTAAATTATCACCATCAATAAGCACCCACGACACTCATTGGCTTTATGAAAGGCTACCATGTAAAATGGATAAGCCTGAGAGAGTGTAGTGTATTCAGGGCTCTTCTCCCCTACTCGAACACATAAACCATATTTGTAACTGCTGAGAAATAAAACACTCCTTTCAAGTTATTTTCCCTTCTGTTTTATTACAAGCAGAAAACATGAACCACGACACTCACCATCCTGTGCTTTGAAATATGAAAGTGAAGGGAAAACTGACTTGGGAAGAGAGAGATGAGGCTCTTTGGAGCAGAGATGAAACAGCAGAGTTGAAAGATTAATGCTCTATAGACAAATTGGAATCTAAAGTGAAAGTTTAGAATAGACGACAGTCATCAAAATGAATGATAAGGGGCAAGCCAGCAGGATGGGAACATTTGAGGCACCAATCTGTTCTGGCTCAACCAGAGAAGATGATTATCTCGCATTTAATGTCTTTCCGACACTGCGAGCAGACTCTCACTGTCCTACTCAGAGAAAAAGACAATGGGGCGATCACAATTTAGCACTGTTTTTTTTTTTTTCACATAGTTAAATTAGTTATCCACATAATTCCAAGTGGAGAAACTTAAAGTTGGCTTTTTCAGTCAATTGTTCAATATCCCCAGGCTTAGAATAGTTTAAAAATAATTTAAAAGCCCAAGGTTTCTCCCAATCCCAAGAGTTTCTCCTTCTCTATTAAGCATATAGTTAGACAAATAATTCCACATCATCAATACTGAAACTAGAACTTATTTTAGTAGAATGTCTTTGTGTAAGTTTAAAACATGATTTAAAAATATGTTTTCTTACCTGGAAAATGCCGCCATATTATCAGCCAGGGTTTCCTGATCATTTGCTCCAGACCTATAATAGTCATATATAGACTTCTGAAGAATTGACTTAGCATGTTGTTCATAATCACTGATGCAAACTAGCCGGGTGAACATTTTCACGGGTTACTGCACGCCCAGGTTGGTTTTATTTCTTTCTTTTCTGTGTTGCCTTCTACATCTTGACGATTCTGTTATTTGTCAATTATTAATAGACCTTTTCCAAAGTTCAGATTTAGTTCTCTGGTGTTACAATAAGTGAGCAAACATATGCTTAGACTTTGAAATTCCATTTGAAACCATCAGCCAAAGAAGAGCAACGCCTGTCCTAAGCCACAAGCATTGAGGTTGGAGAGGCAGCCATTTCTGTCACATTAAAAAGGCAGAGGAATGCGTTAAAAACCAACAAGGTAGAGGAGCACTTGCATGAAACTGCGCTTGGCGTGGCTCAGTTCTGCCCAAGGGAGCTTCCTCCGCACAGTGTGTGCCTTGCTCCTCACTTGGTACCCAGAATAGGCGGCCATTCATTCTCCTTCCACGTGCGGACTATGCACATATCGTGTGACAAAGAGCTTATGTATCCAGTAAACACAGATGTCTCCACAATCCGAGATTTGGCTGATTATAAACATTTGGCTTTAAGAAGGAACATTAAGGTCAAATACGTAGTTAATTCTTATAAAGTCTTATCTCGCTCAGGAGCGGTTGTAAGGAGGTGCCATTCCTAAGGACCTGGTGGCTTCAGTCTAGAATTTCAGTCAGTCATGGAACACCTGGAGAACTCTCGCACTGGTCAGACATGATTCATACAGCAATGGCTTTGACATCAGTCAGTCCTGGGTCTCAACCTAGGAGCCTCCACTGAAAGCTGGCAGTTCAGCAGCTGCAGTCCACCTGCAGGCAAACTGACCCCTGGCAACGCAAGAAACGTTCAAACCTGTAGAGCAGTGGGTCCCAACCTCGGCTGCACATCAGAATCACCTGGGAATCTTTTTTTTAAAATCCTGATTTCTGGGCCTCATCCTCCGGAAATTCTGTTTTTCTGTTACTAATGTTGTGGCCCCACCCCATAACAAAGAAACAGAATTTCCGGAGAATGGGGCCCAGAAATCAGGATTTTAAAAAGATTCCCAGGTGATTCTAATGTGCAGCCAAGGTTGAGAGCCACTGCTGTAGATAATTTTTATGAGTTTCACTGAGCCAAACTGACGACAACTACTAGGAAGCAAAATCTCAATGGATTGAGAAAATGCTCCAGAGAATGGCAGTTTTGCACCTTCTTTTATACATTACAACCAAAGGAAGAGGCCTGAAGAGGTTTATATGAAATCCAATGGTGAAAAATTAGGGAGGCGGGCGAAAGAAAAACAGGGAAAACTCTTGGATCGGATAAAAAGTAAAATGGAGAGACATTTCTTTTACATTGGTTGGTACAGGAGAGTTAACAACTAACATTTACAGCACAAAAAACAAGATAACGAAAGGTTCTATGGTCTTTCCCTCTGGTGGGAGATTGTGCCCTAAGAAGTCTGGGGAAAAAAAGGATTATTCAGACATTCCAAAGGTATGTTATCTTAGATGTCAAAAAAAAAAAAAAAAAAACAATAGAAGGGCTCAGGTAAAGATTGACCTTTGTCAAGGAATATGCCTGCCTGGGACATGACTACCCAGCATGACTCCCTTTTATAATAGCTAAGGAGTTTTCATTTCAGACCATCCTATGTGGTTACTTCAGGTCTCTGAGTGTGTAAGGCTCCCCATGCAGGCCTCCCCTGAGCTTATCAGGGTTAGTAGGTGGCCCCCTTTTCATCCACACCCCTTTAGTCCAGAAACACTTTGGCAAGGTAGAGAGCAAAGATGTTTTTTTGTTAAGAGGCCTGGATTTTAAAACTAAATGAATTCCATTTTCCTTCTGTTTACTGCAACCCAACAGCTTATTTGGATGGAGTACCTCATTAAGGAGACACTAACACAGTGGTTCTCAACCTTGGCTGCACATTAGAATCACCTGGGAATCTTTTTTAAATCCTGATTTCTGGGCCTCTTCCTCCGGAAATTCTGTTTCTTTGTTATGGGGTGGGGCCACAACATTAGTAACAAAGAAACAGAATTTCCGGAGGATGAGGCCCAGAAATCAGGATTTTAAAAAGATTCCCAGGTGATTCTAATGTGCAGCCAAGGTTGAGAACCACTGCACTAACATATAGTCCCCACATTGCTTAATTAACCTCTTAGTGGAGAGAACTAAAAGCGGCGTTGGAATTTAGAACAGTTTTTGTTAATTGCACATGTAAACACCTCACATTGTTTCAGAGACAATACCTTCTGCGAAACTCCTCTCTAGGCCTCAGTGAAGTTGAAACCGCAGAACCAGCTCAACATGGTCCTATGCTGTTTCCAACAAGATAGCGAGTTGCCTTTCAGAAACAACGGGCCAAAACCGCCAGCCGTGCAACCAGAGCAGGCGCAGAGGAGAGAACTTGGGCTGCCAGCTGCACTCGGCACCAAAATGGCACCTCCCACTCCCCAGAACCAAAGGACTAGGACAGGACCCGAATGTGAACACGGGAAACCTTTCAAAGGAAAGGGTCCCTTGTGCAGGAAGATCGGGGGCTGAAGCCCTTTAGCATATTTTACCTTAAAGGGCCAACTTCCAACCTTCTCCAGTCAAAACCTGCACGGCCAGCACATCCGCATACCAGCCATTTCCCCCAACTGCTAACCCTCAATCTTGGCCTTTAAAAACCCTTGATTCGCCCTGGCTGGTTTGGCTCGGTGGATAGAGCATCAGCCTGCCAACTGAAGGGTCCAAGGTTCGATTCCTGCAAGGGCACATGCTCAGGTTGTGGACTCGATCCCCAGTAGGGGGCGCGCAGGAGGCAGGCAATCAATGATTCTCTCCCATCATTGATGTTTCTCTCTCTCTCTCCCTCTCCCTTCCTCCCTGAAATATATTTAAAAACCAGACAAACAAAACTCCTTGATTCAATGACTTTGGGGAGTTTGGGTTTTAAGCGATAGCTTCCTGCTCCCCTTGGTTGGTGCCCTGCAAATGTGCACAGGCTGGGAAGACCTTCATTCTGTTTGGTTCGGCTCAATAACAAAATGAGATGTGGAGGACATAACACGTCCAGGCCTCGTTCAAGCCACTAAAGTCTGCATTTGCCAGTCCCCGCCCCCTCTCTCCGCCCCACCACAGCCCCTCCATCCACCAATTTCGGAAGCAGGCGGTCTGAGAATGCCAATGCAATGGCATCTGCTGGATTCCAGCACTCTCCTTCCCAGCGGCCAAAAGAAAAGGGGTTGTTTTACACTAGACTTAGTAAAACCCTAATTCATGCCCAACCCTACCTAATATCCCAATAAGGGGCTTCACCATATGCACATCCTTTGGATATTTTTTAAACCACGTAACTCTTCCCCTGCCTTCATCCTAAGGGAAACTCAAGTGAGCGCCAGAATGAAGCAGTGAGCACTCCACATCCTTAACCGACCTTCACTCTCATTTGTCTTAAGATGTAATTCGGAATAGCACTCGGAGAAGGTCTTCTTTTCTGTTTTGATCCTTTTCAGAGGCTTTTCTTTTTCGATGAGATGTTGGGTTGGTAGAATCTTAGTCATCTCCACCATTCTAGGCACTAGAAGGGGCTGTTTACAACATGGCAAGCACCGATGTCTAAACCACCGGGATATCCCAGGCAGCCACAGAGAGCGCCTCTCACAGGGGAAAATTTATTTCACTGTGGCTTTACTTTTCACTTTCCTGATAACTAATGACTTTGATCACCTTTTAATATGTTTACTGGCCTTTTAATTTTCCACTTTTTGAAATGCTCACTCATGTTCTTGGCCATTTTTTGTATTTGATTTTTTGTTGTTACTGACTGGCAGAGTTGTGATTTTTTTTTTTTTTTTTACAGATACTTTGTGGTTATACATGTATAAGGTACATTTTTACTAACTTCTTGACTTTTGCTCACATACAAAGAATGCCAATGTCAGCCTCAAAGCTGCAGGATTAAAAGCATATGGTTAGATATTCTCCATTTTCTTTTCTTTCTTTTCCTTCTTTCCTCAGTCTCTTTCTTTTTCTCTCCCTCCCTCTCTCCCTTCCTTTCTTTCTCTTTGTTTTATCTTTAATTTGGTTTCCTTTTCCTTGGTCACCTTCTCCTTTCCTTTCCTTTCCCTTCCTTTCCTTTCCTTTCCTTTCCTTTCCTTTCCTTTCCTTTCCTTTCCTTTCCTTTCCTTTCCTTTCCTTTCCTTTCCTTTCCTTTCCCTTCTCCTCCTCTTATTTTCGCTCTTTTCTTCCCCCTCCTGTTCTAAGTAGAACCAAGGCCTGGCCAGCAAGTTGCCTCTCGCTAGGTGGTTCACCCACGGAATGTGTTCCCAACCCCCCCCCCCCCCTCCCCAAGCTCTTGGCTTTAGGCTGGGATGAAAGGGCCTGCAGGTGTTACAGACTTCTGAAAGGCCCCCTCTTTCATGCTGTGCCACAGGGCAGGATTTGAAAGCAGTCTCCTGGGAGTGTCCTGAAGATGTTGATGAGGGGTGCAAGGAGTTTACTCCTGTTTCCCCAGGATCTTGAGTTAATATCCTTTTGGGGATCCCCCTTGAAAGTGATATGGTTTGCCTTCTGTTCCCCCCAAGGCCCCCAGGGTATTAAAATAGAGCTCCAATACAGTGTGCAGATCATGCCCTTAGGGGGGCAAGAACTTTAGGACTCTGCCTACTGCTCTGCTCTCCTGCTCTCCCCTGGTATTTGGCCTGTTTATTCCATACTGTTTTAGGAACATTTTGATCCCTTTTGAAATACACCGTATGTGTTATACTTAAAATAGCTATAAACGACTTCAGCATGTTTTGATATTAAGATAATGCTGGGCTCATAGAATGAGTCCAGAGACCAGAAGTGTTCCCTCGAATATAGGTGACTGATCATTGGACCACTAATGACTGGTCATGAATTAGTGATTCAGTTTTGTTTTATCCTACTACCCTAGACTTAGTATGTGGCAATAGGGATTTTCCTTGCAGAAAGGTATACTTCCTCCCACCGTCCTTTCACTGTTCATGTGGTCCTTCAGTTTCCTATCCTATATAATGAAGAGGTAATATGCAAATTAACCCTCACACCCTCACAAGATGGCTATGACCAGGCCAGCAGGGGGGTGTTAGTGAGGGACAACCAAACAA